GCCTCCAAATATTTGGAGGCTGATTACGTCAATGAAGATAATAAAAAATTATTTCATTTTTTAGTTGAAATTTTAGGTGGTTCCCGAAAAAAAATAGCGAAAAAAATTATCCCTAAAGTAGATACTAAGAGAAATGTATAAACCAATGCTTCCATAAATTTGATCGTGGTTTACAATTATAGCTTTCATACCTGTTTTGTTTATGTTTATTTAGGAGATGTTTATTTAGGAGTATCCCTCCGGATAAAGAAAGAAAAAGAGTCAAAGAAACGGCAGCAATTTAATTAAAGATTCCTACAGTACCCTACCTATTAAATAAAATTGCAAACAGAAACTAGACGCAAAAAAGCAATGTTGCATCAGACTGCTTGTCTTTTTGTAGTTGGATCTCCAAGTTTTTGGAATGCCCCAAATTCCACTTGAGCATCCAAATCGGGATCAATACCGGCAAAAACATCTCTGAAGAGGGTTCTAGCACCATGCCAAATATGTCCAAAGAAGAAAAGTAGAGCAAACGAAGCATGCCCAAAAGTAAACCAACCTCTTGGACTGCTACGAAAAACACCATCGGATTTCAAAGTAGCACGATCTAATTCAAAAATCTCACCCAATTGAGCCCGTCTAGCATATTTTTTCACAGTTGCGGGATCACTATAACTCACTCCATTGAGTTCACCACCATAAAACTCAACAGTTACACCTACCTGTTCGACACTATATTTGGATTCTGCTCTTCTAAACGGGACGTCGGCTCTAACAATTCCGTCTCCATCTACCAAAACAACCGGAAATGTTTCAAAAAAAGTAGGCATACGGCGTACAAAAAGTTCACGCCCTTCTTTATTTCTAAAGACGGGGTGTCCTAACCATCCAACAGCTATTCCATCCCCATTGTCCATTGAACCCGCTCGGAATAACCCCCCTTTTGCTGGATTATTACCAATATAATCATAAAAAGCTAATTTTTCAGGAATTTTAGACCAAGCTTCTGATACACTTTGATTTTCAGCTAGTCCAGCACTAACTCTTCGATATATTTCTTGTTGAAAGTATCCCTGATCCCATTGATAACGAGTAGGACCGAATAATTCGATGGGAGTAGTTGCAGAACCATACCACATAGTTCCAGCAACAACAAAAGCTGCAAAAAAGACAGCAGCAATACTACTGGAAAGGACGGTTTCAATATTTCCCATACGTAATCCTTTGTATAGACGTTGAGGCGGACGAACACTAAGATGAAATAAGCCCGCTAATATACCCAACGTCCCTGCTGCAATATGATGAGAAGCTATTCCTCCCGGAACAAAAGGGTCAAACCCCTCGACGCCCCACGCCGGATTTACAGGTTGGACCTTTCCGGTTAGTCCGTAAGGGTCAGATACCCATATTCCAGGACCATATAATCCTGTTACATGAAATGCGCCAAAACCAAAGCAGGCCACTCCTGAAAGAAATAAATGAATTCCAAAAATCTTGGGCAAATCCAAAGAAGGTTTTCCTGTACGTTCATCACAAAAAATTTCTAGATCCCAATATACCCAATGCCAAATAGCTGCCAAGAAGCACAAGCCAGAAAACACGATATGTGCTCCGGCGACCCCTTCGTAACTCCAAAGACCCGGGTTCGTTATAGTCCCTCCTGTAATATTCCAACCGCCCCACGAATTGGTTATTCCTAAACGAGTCATGAAAGGTATAACGAACATACCTTGTCTCCACATTGGATCAAGAACGGGGTCGGAAGGATCAAAAACTGCTAATTCATATAGAGCCATCGAACCGGCCCAACCAGCAACCAGAGCAGTATGCATTATATGAACAGAAAGCAAACGACCGGGATCATTCAATACAACAGTATGAACACGATACCAAGGCAAACCCATGGAAATACCCCTCTATCAACGAAAAATAGACACTATGTAACTTTATTGCATTGGAAAAAACGATTTTACGGACCCCCCCTTTTTAGGTAATTATTTCGGAGAAAGGATTAATATTTGTTCTATTCTGTTAGTAATAATAGAACAATTCGATTCATAGGAAAAAAGGGAAGCGGATCTATTCTATATCCGATAAGTACCAATACGCAATGGGGGTGAATCCGATTTTATATGAACCGAGATAGTTATTGTTGTTCATCATTCAGAAGCCCGTTCGTAAAAAATTTCCTTGATTTTTATTGATTCTCTCTTCCTTTACTTTATATTTTATTTTAGCTTATTCAACTTATGTATTAAATATAATAAAAAAAAAGTAGGAAAAAAGGATAATACTATTAAAAAATGAAACCGCAGTCTTACGTTTCCACATCAAAGTGAAATAGAGAACTTCATTCTCTTTTTTTTTCATTTCATGCCTATTGGCGTTCCAAAAGTACCTTTTAGAAGTCCTGGAGAAGGAGATACATCTTGGGTTGACATATAGTGCGACTTGTCAGATATATTGGGCTATATGGGATTTCCCCGTTTTCTCCCTCGATCGAGATATCCTCTGTTTTGCCCAAAAAGATTGATTGAATTATCAAAAATTTGTAACGCGAAGCACAAAAAATAAAGTGGAATTAAATGCAGGGAGTATTTAGATTGATATTAGATTATCAATTTTTTTTATGGTTTACGTGATCGGACTAATAAAATTAAGTATCCAGGCTCCGTTTAGCAAAAACCCAATTGATAATTAATATATAATATTTTTATAATTACTACTTATATGATATGCAAAATTATGATCAAAAAATTCTATTCAAAAATACAAAAAATTGAAACAGGGTGATCTAAAACTGTTGATAAAATCAAATAAATAATATACTTAAAAATTTGTTGACTATTTGACAGAAGACATGTGAAAGAAATTAATTGAAAAAAAAAAGGAAGTAGTAAAAAAAAACGCGGTATTTGGTTCATTTGTCCTATATGTGCAAATCAAAATCGGGCAAATTTTTCCTTTTACTCGGGGTAGAGCATAAACCTAAAAAATGGAAGAAAAAAAGGAAGAAGCCCGTTCAGGAACAAGAAAAAACCATCGCCATTTCAACTGAATCTCGATGAAAAAAAATATCAATGAATCAAGTTAGTCTGACAGGCGTAATCAATCATTTTAGTATAGGATTATAATATCTAATAAACGGGGTCAAAACTTCTTTTTTCTTTTACTTTTAAAAGGGGAGCAAGCCCTTCCCTTAGAAATTAGAAAGAAAAACCTTCTATGAAAAAAGGGGGGGGTTGGAATCGACACATTGATTTTTTCACAATTTTTGGTGAACCGTATGTATCAAA